CACGCACAATCGCGGTTAATCACGTCTGTCAGCGCCCCATAATCGTCCATTTCCTGCTTAACAATCATTAAGCATGCATAACGAATACTGAGCAGAGGAACTGACTCAGCAAATGTTTCACTGAGCCGTGCCACCGCTTGGTCGAAAGTCAGGTTCTTAAGTTGTTTAAACAGAATATGGTCGATGAAGCTTGAATGTCCAGTCGCGCTGAGTCTGCGGAGTAACAAACGCACTTTCAAGGAATCGTCCTGATGACTGAGGTCCGTCCGAAACATATCCTCCCAACGTTTGAACCAACTACAAAAGTGTACCCGGAACCTTCTTTATGAACAAATCCACTGATCGCATTGGCGAGAAGATGAAGAGAATTCGGCTGCTTGTCTTGCGCTGCTGCTTCTGCAGACTGCAAACTCATGCAATTCGTCAAATTTTCAAGCATTTCCATTTGGGCTTTCATTTGGAATTGCAGTTGCAAAAACAGCTTCTGAAATTGTCCAACGGAAAAATTCACATTTCCAGTTTTTCCCATCGCCATATTTTAAATCTTATCATTAGGTGCAATTCCTTAGCACGCACTTAGTGTATTTCGCGCAACCACAAAGCCGAATTAAGGAAAAAGTCAGAACGACTTTACCCAAAATAACCTGTTAACTGCAGTCAAACAGAAGGTGTACAAAGGTGGCAGACTATGATCATATTCATAGGTCCCCCCCTGACCTTCGACTTTTAGAAGCAGAGGGTAAGACACAAAGGTTATTTGTTACCCATAAATTTGGCCGATCTGCAGAAAGGTTGCTAGTCAAATGTTGGCCTTAGAACTTTCCAGAACCCTCGAACTCGATGCGATAACGGTTAACAATCGATTATTGCTAAATAATGATTTTCCGGAAAATTGGTCCTTTCTTCCGGACAGCGAGCATGTTCCTTAGCACAATTTCTCGGTTGCATCTTACATGTGTGAATAATGGATTCGGTAATGTGGTTGACAGTATGTGGCAGGTAATGGATGTGAGTTCGGTAGTGGTGGGGGCTACTTTAGCCGCAGTGCATTAGCTGCTTCTTCGGCGCTTTGCACTCTACCGACTGTCTTGAAAAGTGGAGGGATGCCACGCTGCACTTTACGAAGATATTTGACATATCTATGCAGCAGTTTTGTGTTTTCCAGGAATAATTTAGTAAAGCACTGTTGATAATTTACTTTTCCCTCAAGGAGTACTGCAGTGAAATTGCTGCGATGAATCAGGAAATTGCCCCAAGTCTCTGAGTCGAGGTTTAACATATAGGCACGCCATGCTGGGTCGCTTACTGCCATGCTTTTCCGAGTCCTGCTCCTTAGAATTGAAGGCAATTTGGCGGGACGAAGGGGCTTGGTCTCTAATGCCCAATTAGCGATGTCGCTGAGTTGCTCAAGGTACTCTGTCCAAACGTTGTCAAGAGGACTGTTCTTTGAGAATCCCTAAGCAGAAGCGTCGACGAGTTCTTTCAAGTCGTGGTAGCACGTGATTGTATGAGTTAGTTCCGAGTGTTCAGATGGATACTCAGTATAACAGCCATGGTTAAAGGTTATTACTACATGGTCACTGGGACCTAATGGACTGTCCATTAATAACTTGTCAACCATGAGCTCTTCATTTGTTAGCACAAGGTCCAATATGGATGTTTTGTTTGCTGTCCTGAACCTAGTGGGCGTGGTGATAAGATTATACACGAGAATATTAGCGATCAGTTCACGCAAGTCTGCCCTAAACTGTTCACTGGGGGTTGCCCGTACCTCAAGGTCATGTAAATTGAAGTCTTCGGCGATGAGAATGAGGATGTACCTAGTGCGCGTTACCCTGCTCAAGGCAGGTAACAAGCGGGAATCCATTTTCGGAGTGGACGTTGGGTGGCGGTAAACGACAACTACGAGACATGCGTTGTTGTGGCTTAGTCGGACACAGCAACAGCGTGACTCGGGAACGTGGGTTTGCATTTCATTAACTACTACACATCGCAGGTCGCTGCGGTGGTAGCGAAAGACCTAACCTCATCTGCTTGGAAGGTCGTTCTGGATGAGTGACCTTCCGGCTAACTCAACCTCAGCATCCATCAACTCTTGGTGCAACCAAGTTTCGGTAATAGAAATCAGGTCCCAAGCATTCGCAACCTGACTTAGACGAAGTTCGGTAATTTTACTGAGGAGCCACTGGGTGGTAGTGTAGATACAATAAACTTTCTCGGGTTCGAGTAATGTTTCGGAGGTTGTGCAATTCATACGTAAACTTTCGCCGACCAGTGAGTGACCAGCGAATAATCGTTTGTTCGGTGTGTATTTGGAGAAGGATTTAGCGTCTTATTCATCGTCCGCATAGTTATTCCCGTGTCTAATCTTCTACGCACAGTGTAAGGTGTCTGGTAAAGATCATCTACAGGTTGTATGGGCACATTAGACACACTACTGGTGCATTGTTCTTTCATAGATCCCATCGCGTTTGGTTGCTTGAGTGACATACCATCACTAGGAGGCATATCGCAGACTGTCTTCAGCCGAAGCTCAAATGGTAGCCTGCAACGGAACATGTACCACCCTTTTAGCGGCCGTGCTACCATATGTTTTGACTGAAGGACCACCTTCAACCCTCTTAGGCCGCTTCCTTCGTAGTTCGGTGAGGTACGCAGCCGTGACACGGATTTCGCTAACACATCATCCAAGCACAGTGTTTCACGAATGTAACACCATTGTTCTTTATCATGGGTTGTCATTTCATGCTCATCATATGCTTCAGTTTCAGCACCTCCATGAAGAAGTATGGTTCTGGTTGAAGTTTCCTTCCGGTAGTCCTCTAATTTGCAGTTAACTCGATAACGCTCGCCTCATGAGATGTCTGGAAAGAGACGGATAAACCACTGTTCATTTCGGAGACTACCTGTCGAAAGTAGTACTGATTCTACTTCAGTGATGGAGTTCAGCACAACGCGCAGAAGTCTTGTCTCACCGTAATGCTTGCAGTTGGGCTACGGTGTAACACGCACTCCGATTAGTTCACTAATAATCACTGGTTGGGGTCATCCAACTCTCTGCCTCTTATTGATGTGGAGTTTGATTCTGGGATACTGGAACACAGTACGCTCAGTACAGGTAGTTTGTTCTTTGCATCTTTTGAGGTGTCTCGGTTAGTGATTAAAACACTCGAAGACCTACCGCGGGACTCCGGTGGTGCTTCCTCCAGAATTACTCCGCTACTCTCTTCAGTTTCTGATCCAGTTGGGTGTGATTTTAATTTTAAATGACGGCTCTTCTTGGAAGCAACCGTAACTCAATTATCGCTAGTACCGACTTGCTCTTTTTCTGCTCACTCCGTCGGGAGATTGAAAGTAGCCTTATGTGTAGTTACTCCGATCAAACTGGGAACCGCGTTAGTCAACTGTGAGCCACGTGAGGTAGTTGAACGGCGGTTGATGTTTTGGGCGCTTGGTGTCGTTTTTCTGACGGTGTTACTAGCGGTTCGCCTCAGGATAGGAGCAACATTTACTGGGGAGGCTTGCGTTGCACAGCCCGTTATGCTTACCCCAACTGTGGTGATTTTGTTGGTCCCCATTCAACCAAACTTAGCTAGTAGCTCGTCGTAATTCTGAGATAATAGGAGTACGCTTTTTATCAGTGGGATAGATGTGCATTCCACGCAGAACCGTAGAGAATCTGGTTTTTTAAACAACTTGGCCCGACTAGATTCCACTAGGAGGCATCTGGCATGGAAAAACTTGCAACAGTTACGACACGGAATGACTCTCTTCACAAGGTTGAAACATGATCCACATAGGTCTTTAGACTTTGGCACACTGTGCATCGCGCATGTTGAGCAAGTTTCACCAACATTTTGAATGACTCACAGCTGCGAAGAACCTCGATTAATTACAACGAAATCCTCTACTCATGAGTACATCAAAATATATCCACCCTAACAGTTTCTAAATGCTATGTCGTACATAGCAACTGTTAGTGGACTTCATGTCTTTCGGAGTCAGCCCTGTCCTCTGCAACGTTCGTAACTTTCATTGCAGCGGAGGATAAGACGCGTAATATCGCAGTTAGCTTGTAAATCATGACCGTCCGAAGCTGTCCCCCGTGGCCCAGTGGCATAAGGTGCTGCCTGGCGGTTCAAGCCGCTGGTGGTCAGGGGTTCGAATCCTGATGGATTCGAGTGATGCCCGACAGGCTAAAACTGCGGTCTCGTGCTTTTCCGGGCATCCGGATGACTATCCGATTTGGAAGCTGGCTGCGAACAACCTCAATTAGTTGTTCTATTACTGAGGTTGACACCAAGGTCACAGTGTTCACGTTGCACATGTGTGCTCGCAGGCTGTCCTTTCTGACGTGCTATTTGAATGTAACAGCATGAATGTGAGGCAGGTTACACGAGGATGTGAGTAAAAATTTTCGTGGTTAGGCCTATGGATCATGCCAGGTGAATTTGTCTTAAGACCTGTAGCTGCTTCAAGCAACGCTGGATGTTGAGTGAGAGTTAGTTCGAAAGCCTTTGAAGTGGTCTATCGAGTGAGACCAAACAACGTCTCCGATAGTTGGCGTTATACAACTTTTGGCGATTGAATATCGGCGAAGCAGTATCGGGAATATAAATTTTAAGACAAATGCATAATGCACTGGAATGTATTCGATAAAATGGTATCACAGGATGGAGCTTTTAGAAACAAGATGAATATGTATAGATCCAAAGGAGTGCGACCAGATGCCGCTGAAGTACAGCGAAAAACTACGAGTGTACAAGTGAGCGATTCTCACGCACGTTCGCTCAAGGTCACAATCTTGATATATTCTGTGGGGGGTACAGCGTTAACTACGCACGATCCCTTAGTGGACCAAGGTGTCCTGTTGTTGTACGCGCTCACAGCGACATCGTAAGTCGTGAATAATACTACCCGAGTAACAAATGGTATGAATGTGCGTAAGAACAAATAGGAGAACATAAATGATCTGTTGCATTAATCGAAACAGTACTCACCCAGTGTGTCTTTTGCAGGAGTTAATAAGGTCCAACCTCTTTAAAAATACAACAGCCTGTTAGCAGATATTTTTGACATACGTACACGAGATTTACAATACATAATCCATCGGTGTTATATGCCTGAAATTTCACCACAAACACATCCTATATAATAGATTGGCTTCAAGCACATTGTACTCACCTCAATTAACACATCAAGACTACCAACTTTTAGATTTGCTTGAATATGATGATCAAATGGAATGTGAAATCCCCAATCATCATTAGACAATAACAAACAATGATCTGGCGATAGTTTGTCCATAAAGATAGTATAAATACCTTCAGTGATATCGAAATTACGCCATGTGCTTGATAGTAGAATATGTCCAGCTCCATTCGTTAACGTTAAAGTTGCATTCAGATCCAAAAGATCTGTTCAATAAACACAATTAGCTGAAAGGAGACGGACCTTTTGTTCGTAAGACAGTTTCCGTCGATGAAATACTAGGATGAAACTCGGAAGATTTTGATCTATGTTTACGTATGAGTAATTTTGTATTATTTCATTTTACCCATCCGCTATAGCATGACGCAACACCGATCGAATTTGGACAAGATCAAAGGGGAAGTGCACAAAAGCTATGCTTGCTTGCTTCCACTGGCCAATGAGTAAACCACTGACGCAGTGATGAATTCGTAGGAATTTTTGTCTCGAATAAAGAGTGCAATTACACGACTCTAAGTCTAATCTCAGCGTCTTCCGTCGTATTTCGTAACACTGTCTCGGCGAATGTATATGTGATACGGTGTGTTGTAGAAATAGTGGGAGGTGACAATAAAGAGTCAGTAACTTCAAATCCGCCCCCATAATCTCCATGTCTGAAGTATCCAGAAAAATTTCGCAATCTGCATGAGTGATAACACTAGGTAGTAGAACCGCTTTGCATGCAACCTTCGCGTTCACCGCACCATATATGTTAAGGACAGCAGTCAGACGTAGATTTCTACAAATACATAGCTAGGCTGAAAACTGAAACCCTCGGTACCTCATGTTGAAGTGTTTTCTGCAATCGAGTCCACGTCGAAGCTGTCCAATGAGAAACTCATTCCGCGCTCCTTTGCCACTTTAGGTCATTTGTTTGGTAAAAAGTGGAAAGTA